TTTCGTCAAAGTGATATCACAGTCATATTAAAGCACATTTTTGGGTAGAAAAACTATCTATAATGGGACATATATCCTTTAACTTCAGGGCAGTGTTAGATTCATTATTCCGCAGTCATGGTAATGTTGGTTGATTTTTTTTCATAAGCTAATGTACTGTTAATAAGGTGTCAATTACTGATGCAAGCAAACAGGGCAAAGAATAATGTTTCTAATTGCTGTAGTTATCACCTAAGTGCAATTATCTACTATTGCTGAAATAAATCAATTTAGGATTCAAAGCTATCTTTATAACATTCACATTTAACTTTTTTTTCGAATTATTATTATCATACCTACCTTTTAAAATACTTCATCATTTTTCTTTTCCTGTATTTTTTAAAAAACATCACTGAGTTGGAAAAAAGCTAGTCACCTTCATTAGTGAACAGAGAGAACTCAATATGCATTCAATTATAGTGTAGGTATCCATAGGTCTTAAGTAAACTATTAAAAATCTCCATTGTCTTTCCCTACTTCTGCTTCAGTCTACCCTGAAGGCTTCCTGCTGAAAAGACATAATGAATTGTCTATATACCCTATTTTTTAATTTGTTTTATTTTAAACTAATTGAACTGAAACTGCTTTTTCTGCCATCCAATTGTGCTTAATAAATACATACTATCATGCAATCAAAGATAATACCAGTTTTAAGAGTAGAACTTCCAGGATTGTCCTGCTTAAAAGCCTTCTGAGATTAAATAGATGCAGGAATAGATCACCGAGGAAACCTCTTCCTCCAAACGTTGAGAAGTTTGGATTAAAATGCAGTTTGTTTGCTAACAAAGAAGCAATCATAAAGACTGCTAACAAGACAAAGAACCCGGACAGATTTTGTGGAAGCATATGATTTGTGATCCAAAACACGGTGCCAGAGAAAGGTGCATTTCTGGACTTCATTATCCTCTTCTGACCAAGGCTGTGTTGACAGAGGTCTCCCAATTAGCCTGAAGAAGAGTTAACAAGGTAGTATTCAAGAAGGCAAAGTGTTTCTGAAAGCATCTGGCTGTAAGCTGTAAAGGGCTGCTCATTCCCTACCTCTAATTGGAGTAGAGCATCCTCCCTATACTGACCACCTTCACTGACAACAGTTGAATCTACAGTGCTCCCTCCATGCTTGTTATATAAACTCCAACCACTTACTGATGGCAAAAGCTTGTCTTTCAGATCACGCTTTTCCCTGACTTCGAGTGTATATCTAACACCCCTGGAAAAGCAAAACCTTCCCAGAATCTGGCTATGTCTTTCAAATATATACTGCTGGCACAAGTATCAGTCCCTGGCAGAAAATTAACAGAACCAATCCTTTCTTGCCTGCTTCTCCCACATTTTCAGCTTTGCTGCTGCTTTCATTAACTCCTCATTGCACACTCTCAGCATACAAGTTTTTGCAAGGCTAAGAAGGAGGGAGGACTTTTCTAGTTGTGTTCCTTCTGCTGGGTCTACCTGTGTTATATGTGAATACAAAGTGTGGGGAACCAGGAGTAAAATAAGCTTTTTTCATGGTGTAGGGAAAAGATGTCTGAAGAGATGAAAGAAGTTAATTTTTTTCTGTGCCTCTCTGTCTTTCCATGTCTTGGATACTTTTCTAAGGAAAGCTTTTAAACCCTTGAAGTGGTCTGTGTCCTTTTTTTGACATGATCCCTTTTAGGCTATCTTTCCATAGCTCTACTCACTTCCTAAAATAGATCCATTATTACACAACAGAAAGTGAAACAAAGATATCAAGCATTGATCTAAGATGCCCAGGCCAACAACAGCATTGGGGAAATCAAGGTTAGAGGCAGTATGCACTAACAGGCATCATTGGTCATATTACAGAAGTTGGTGATTTCCCATGTGTTGATTCCTGTAGCAGCCATGCTTCAGGGGCGCTTGACACCAATTCTCACAGCTAACTTATAGTTGCATATGCCTCTCATCCAGCCTGGAGGTCTTTCTGGTCTTAACCATTTTTTCAACAGTTTAGTGGAAGCTTCTGCACAAATCAGTCTCCCTAGAAAGTGAAGCAGTATGAGTATGAAGAATGAAGTTTAAATATTTTTAACCTCTCAGTTCCAAGTCATAGGGTGGTGATGTGAGAAGATGTGGTGAGCTCAATTATTCCAAAAATAAAGGGGAAATAAAACAAAATCTAGAGAATCTCAAAGGTTTTCATGACGATTTGGCTTTCTGTTATAATATACTCACCTCCAAAACAGCAAAAAGTAGAAAATCAAAGTCATTAAGTACGTTTGGTGGAAATAAACAAGAGTTATTACATGGATACTTTCTCCCGGGCTCTTAAATAAAAATCAAATTTATTCTTGACCTGATTTTACAAAAACATGTAGTAACAATCTGACAAAAAACCAAATGGTCAAAGTGTTCTCTAAAAGTCTTTGATATAGTATATAAAAAGCTATAGCACAGCCTGGAAAATAACCATTGGACTAAAAATTAGAAGAATTTAATCAAGTAAAATTCATGGAAGGGAAAATGAAGTTGTTGACTTTGGTAGAGAAGATCCTGAGTTGCAGGTTGCCAGAACTTGGATGGCTGTAACACAGAATACACATTTTGTTGTCTTCTTCCCATGACATCCCCCTTGCCATCTTACTGGCACCTGCTGGAAAGTCTCCAGGAGGAGACTTGCCCTGTTGCAGTATGAATGTTCTTATATAACCTGAAGCAACCTGACAGGGCAAACAGACTTGATAGAATTATGTTCATCATGGATGAGTTGAAGCCACAAGGTCTGGAATTTAAGGTAATTTACTGTCATTTGTCATGCTGGGAAAGTGAAAGAAAGCAGACATTTCTACAGATAGCACATTTAGTTGTGTTGAGAACTGAACAAGAGAGGTTGCATTTTCTTGTGGAAATACTGAAGTCTGCAGTTCTGATATTTTCTAAAATGAAAATAGTTTCATTTCAAGAGTTTCCTTCTCTTCACATCAGGAGGCAAATCAGGAGGTAGGATTAAGACTCAAATGGCATGGCAGCCCCCTGTGTGGTACTGATACTGCCTTGTGGGGAAAGGGCAGTTCGGGCACCATCGCTCGGCGTGAGTGCAGGGCAGCCGCAGCACACCAAGGAGGCCATCTGATGCTTCTTTTTCCCTTCTGAACTGCAGGGGAAAGATATCAGCGGCCCCATGGATGAAGCAAATTTGAGAAGGCTCCTGATGAAAAATGTAGAGCTTTCCATTAGAGGGAGACATTATTCAGTCAGAAATAGAATCATAGGATCATTTAAGTTGGAAAAGACCTCTAAGAACGTCAAGTCCAACCAAATAAAAAATGCTCTGCCATGCCTGCTCCTAAACCATGTCCCTAAGTGACACATCTACATACTTTTACATCTTTTAAATACCTCCAGGGATGGTGTCTCAAACGTTTCCCTAGGCAGCCTATTTCAGTGCTTGAAAACCCTTTCCATGAATAAATGTTTCCTCGTGTTCAATCTAACCCCCGCCATCCCCGGTGCAACTTGAGGCCATTTCCTCTTGTCTTATTGCTTATTATTCGGAAGAAAAAATGTGATCAGAAGGCTCAGTCAAATAGGAGCCAGACTCAAGATTCCAGATGATGCAGGGCTAAGGCTCAGAGGCCCTGCAAAGCTTGACTTCTTTTACTGTATCACTGTGTCCTCTGACATAATCTGCCAGCCAAAAAAAAATTAACCTTTAGGTCAATCTCACAGACTGTCACAGCAGAATTGGCTGTGAAATCTGCTTGGCAGCAAGAGTTTTCAAGGAGAACAGTGTTTGTTACTCAGTTAGGTCTTTCATGAGTTATTTCTTTATTTACATTGATGGAAAATATAGAAATGTGACATTTTGAATTAACACAAAGTCATTTTCTACAGATTAGAGCTAAGGGACTTGTGGGTATTCTTCTTGCCATGTTAGTGAGAAGGATAAATAAGGCCATGCACACCTTACAGCAGTACCCCAGCAGGGTGGAACCTTAAACAAGATTGAGAAGACACTCATCAAGGAAATAGCACCATGACCAGAGAAGTTGTTTTGCAATGCAAATATAAAAATTTATCAGTATCCATTGGGAAAAAAAATTACTGATGAGACAGTTATATTAACCATCTATTGTTGTTGTTAGGCTTTTAATTTGCCTTATAATCTACATCTACTCTATTAATTAGATGAATAAAAATTGATTGTGTTATGCAGTAGAGAACAATCTAGTTTTAGCTAGAATAGGCATGCTGTTTTCTAGATGGTTTATTATTATGTTTTGGACTGGTTGAAGATTTGTTGTTGTACTCCTATTGGAAAATGCCATTCTCTAACAAAAAAGAAATTAAATATTGGCATGAAGATTAATTATGACCACTGAATGCTAAGCTGATAAGGACTTTCAGAAGCTATTTCAGCTGTAGAAATCAGGTGATGACTCATTAAATACAAAGACTTTAGAAGTAATATGCTGGCATAATCGCTTTACAATTCCCACATTAATTAAAATTTTGCTTTTTTTGCATTGTATGAAGTTACTTTCAGAAGTACAGTAGCACACTCCACATTAGAACTATTGCAACTTTCAAAACAATGAGTCCTTTTCAATTGTTCATATCTTACACTGAGACTCCCCTTTTTTTGCAATCTATTGGTTTGCACAGCTTCTTCAGAGCCTATGTAAAGCAGTATACTTCTGTGTCTGGACCTCAAATTAGTATGATCAGATGCATCTCTAAAGAGATCTGCTTCTGATGGAACCAACCGTTTTTGCCATTATAAAAAAAACAGCGATTGTGAAAAATCACAGGCTTGCCAGTATTATGACTCTGTTTTTGTGTGCTGCACAACTCGGGCTGAATTATACCACTTAACTCACTGATAAAGCATTAGATCAGAAATTTAGGTGTTTCCAAATAGCAGTGAAACAGTGAACTGATACTGTTTTGCAATACCTTCTTTTATGAAATGCAATATATTCATGTACATACATATTAATTTCTAGATGGCTACCCTAAAGAGGAAATGATTTACAGATGGAGGAAAAACTCAGTGGAGGCTGCTGACCAGAAATCTTGGAGACTCTATCAATTTGACTTTATGGGTCTCAGAAATACTTCAGAAATTGTGAAAACCTCTGCAGGTAAGAATTGAACAAATGGTAGAGCTTTTTCTGGAAATCATATTATTTAAAAATATTTATTCCAATTTTTTTTCATTTGAATGCAAATTGATTTCAATGTGTACCAATGTTCATATTAAAATCTGTAAAGTGCAGACTTCAAAAACATTGACTTTATTTAGATTTTTTATAACTTCTTCTCTACTCTAGTAGTAATTTCACAAACTAAGGAATAAATACTAAGTTGATGTGGCTGTTGGTTATATACTTGAAGTTACAATATGATTCTCATTCCTCATCTAAGTTTATTTGCATTGAATGCATTTTCACCATAAATTAAAGAGAAAGATAAAATGGTAGGTTAGTGAAATTAGATTCTTTAAACACTAGTTAACCATTCAGCCACAGGTTTAATATTTCTCTTAATATTTCAAAGGCACTCTTTATTTTTTCAGTTGGTAAATACCCTTGCTAGTGACTCTGCCAACTGACTGTAATTAAAATCCAGTCATACTTATTTTATTTCTTCAGAAATCTTGCTGTTTCTTATAATAGCACCAATATATATATATTAAAAAAGATATTTAAATAGAATACATTACATTAACTGGATACATTCTCATAAAATTCATACAATATCTAAACTGTATACATGACTCTGCAGTCATCTCTGTGATTACAGTTTGGTAATTCTCATAGCTGCTGAGGGAACCTGCTAGAAGTGACCTTCTGCTTAACTGGTGGTAAATTTTTGAAAAATCCCATATATATTTTTTTTTCAAAATGTAAGCAAAGCTAAGCTATTATTTTGGAAACACTGTGAATAATATTAATGATAAAAAATTATAAATCTTTGAAACTACTGCTGCTGGGTCATGGCCCACCGACTAACATCGGCAATGTATTCTCAGGATTGGATAGCAATTTTTATAATGAAGAGTCATTAAAGCTTTAGTGAATATTTTGAGCTGGTGGTTTAGCAGAACAAAATGTTGCAAGCAGCACATATGTAAAAGTTCTGTTATGGACACAAAGTCTTGTAGTCTTTAAGTTTCTCAGGAATGCAAATTTCCCATAAATTAAATCAGGTGTTGGCAGATAACAGTCACGTACAAAATACCATTAAAGTGTCTGCGTACGTGGTTTAACCCCAGTGGCATCTCAGCTCCATGCAGCCGCTCACTCACTTTCTGTGGTGGGATGGGGAAGAGATTTGGAAGAGTGGGAAAACTCATGCTTTGAGATAAAGACAGTTTAATAGGCAAAGCAAAAGCTGTGCACAAAAGCAAAGCAAAACAAGGAGTTCATTCACTGCTTCCTATGGTCAGGCAGGTGTTCAGCCATCTCAAGGACAGCCGGGCTCCCTCACAAGCAACAGTGACTTGAGAAGACAAACACCATCACTAGGAATATCCCCCTGCTTCCTCCTTTCCCCCCCAGTTTTATATGCCAAGCATGATTCCATACGGTCTAGGATATCCCTGTGGCGAGTTGGGGTCAGATGTTCCAGCTGTGTCCCCTCCCAAATCCTTGTTCCACCCACCCGCCTCCTCGCTGATGGGGTGGGGTTAGGAGCAGAAAAGGTCTTGAATCTGTGCAAGCACTGCTCAGCAATAACACAGACATCCCTGTATTACCAACACTATTTCCAGAACAAACCCAAAACACAGCCCCTGTAAGGTCCATGTAATAAAGTCCTGTCAATTGCTGTGTGTTTTTCTCCTCTCCCATCCCAAATCTTGTTCCTTCACAACCACCCCTTTGCAGACTCAGGACAGAAAGGAAGAGCAGCATTGTTCAGAGTGCTGCACAGGGGATCATTTGGACTAATGAGATGGAGTTAGGAAAAGGGAAGCAGGCAGGATACCAAAAGCAGCTTTCTGACAAAGAGAGGCACTAAACATCATTTCTTCCTCCCAAGGGAAATTATGAAAACTGCTATTAGAGAGGGCATTTAAAAGCAGACTGGGCAAAGCATGAGAAAATGTACTGCAGGGAGCAGTCCTGCAGTAACAGGAGATGGATTCAAAACCCTAACTTGTTTTTTGGCTTCTGACTTACACCTTTCTGCTCGTTTATGACAGTATTATTTCTCACTAAATTAGATGTTCATCTACATAATGTGAGAGCTGCTGCAGTGCTACCTTCCTGTGTCTAGTTTGTGGATCTCTTTTTCAGCTTCTCTTCGGCCATGTTCTGGCTATAATAAAGAGGTCACACTGGCCACATGGCAACACACTGCTGCTCTTCCAGCATTTGCTTCAAGTCCTTTCTTGGTAGTCATTTTCACTGCAGAATTACTAGATTTACTGCTCATCAGAGTTCTGCTATTTGACAGTTTTTCAGTCTTTCCAAACCTTTTTCAGACATCTAAATAACCTTTATGCCAATCTATGGCAATTTCGGTGGTACATAAGTAGCAAGCTGTCTGGTACAGAGTGTATTTCTGAAATAAGCAAGATGAGAAAGATTGTCATGTCTTGTGTTGAACCAGCAATGGCTTAAAGCATTGCCACAGTGGTGTGCTTCATGCTTGCAAGACTAACATTTTTTACAATAATCTGCCAACAAGGTGAAGTCTTCATTGCCGTCTGTACAAGGTATACAGTTTCTTTCCTGAGGATTTTTTTAAAATTTCATTCTAAGATACAAACACAACAAAATAAGTACCTACTGCATATGGTGATTACATGGAATAAACAGCAAAATCACCGTGCTGGTGCTGTGGTCATGAACCTTTATCTTACATCCTAAGTAAGCCTTCACTGTCAGGTAATACCAAATAATTCACAAGTACTGAAAAATTCCCCTGTTGGCAAGATACTCAGATACCATAGCAAGACCACTTCTCTTGCTAAAATGTCAAAAAAGGCTGACAAAGATAGTTAAAGTAGAGGGAATACTAAGCCACCTGGCATTCAGCCGTGAAAAAAGGACAAACTGCATGTAAGGAGGAAATTCTCAGATTTTAAAACTGCAAATCAGCCAAAGGAAAGGTGACCTTGGCAACAGGAGAGAGAGGGAGAACATCATCCTTAAAAGCATTCTGTGTGTGTTTCAGGTTTCTGAGTCCTAACCTTCCAAATAAACTTGAGGGGGAAACAAAAGCAAAGACAAGAAAAAAACAGAAAGAAGGTCAACACATTCTCAGAGATTTATACAGAGGAAATGATGCTCATGTGCCTAGCTCTTCTACTATATGAGCAAAGAACAACTGACTTGAGAAAGCATATCAAAATAGTCACCTCTGCTTACTTTTTGGTGTTAAATGCTCCCAGATCACTTATCTGTAGATGCAGAGAGCCCACAAGAAGTACCCACACAAGATGAACCAGACTGACCAGTGCCAGTCCAGGGCTAGTCAGCAGTCCAGTCATCACCCAATAGGTCCATGTTCATGGAGCAGGATCACCACTCAGCCCAGCCATCAGACTGCCAAGGCAAGGTCAGAGTTGGCAGCAGGCAACTGAGCCCCTCAGCTTGAGGAAGGGTTGCAGGAGGAGAGGCAGAGCAGAATGGTCACAGGCTGATCAGAGCAACTGGAGCCTGTTGGTGCTTTCATGGTCTTGACGATGAGTGGGAAAAAATGCACAAATCCCAATGTGCTGAATGTGGTTGTGTCTGTGCATATTTGTTTTTAATGATCTGATTCAGTCACACTCTCTCATGTACCAGCTAACTCATCTGAAGACATTTATTTAATGAATATTTATAAAACGTTTGGGTTTTAAAGTCACTGATATTTTTAACATCCCTCTGAGTCCTGATGACACATCACAGAGCGCTTGTCATCTGTGTGTTCTTCTCAGGACAAATGAGAATTTGGGGAATTTTTTTCTCAAATGTTTAATTCATTGGGATCCAGCATACACTACCTCAGCTGACTGTGCTGCACAGACTGTCTTTAACCAGATGGCATCCTCAAGCAGATGGATGGGGACTCAGAAAAATGCAACGTGTTGTTTGAAAACGGTGTCTTATTTTCACTTGCCTGGTATTGCAGGAGCTTTGCCTCTTCACCCAGGGTATCATATAATCTCAATTGCTTTGATGGTTAGGTTTTGGTTTACAGCCCTCAGCAGATATCTGCTCTGGGCTCCTGTGATTTCAGATGGTGTCCCCTCCTCTTCCAAATACTGTCCCCACCTCTCTTTATCCTGTCATGCCTGACTCCTAATGTGAGTGCAGAAGAGAAGAAGGAGAATCTGCCCTTTTTTTTCTTAACCTGGCACAAGTGGAGTGGCAGCTGAATTCCAGCATCTCAAAACCTGCTTTCCCCTGGTGCTAGACAATATTCTTCTGTGTTCGTTAGCTGAGTGTGGAAAAAGTCTGTTTAACACTTCCCAAAGAGGTAGAACAGAAAATGCTTTTGTTAGGGGAATTCACCATTACTCTACTCTCCATCTCTTCAACTCACACCTCCCCTGACCTTTAGAGACTTCCAGCTATAACTCATTCTCATGGTTGTTTTTAATTCCTTTGTATCAGGTCAATGAAAGTATCCTTGTAGCTTTCTTTGGGTTCTTGAAATTTGTGATCTGAATTTTAGACCTTGCAAGTTCACTAACTGTGCTTGCATTTGTTCCCAAGGTTCATTAAATCAGGTTCGTGCTTTCAAAAATCTGTTTCTATCATTTAGAAAACAATTCTAAGTTAGAAATGCAGCTAAAATCCTGTGTTGCTTAAATCCTGTGTTGTCTCGAGGTTGAGTGTAAGTTTATTTTCATAGACAGAACCATAGACAGAACCATACAGGGACAGTTGATGTCTGACATGTCACCTTTCACCAGAGTTTGCTGTCCCCATCACACTCCTTTCTACTTTCTCCCCTTTCCTACACGAACACACGCATACAACTTCTCAGAGTCCTTGTGCATCTTCTACTCCCATGGGCTCCCATTCCCAGCAGCTCCAGCACTGTCAAACTAGCAGGTACCAGGAACGCACCCTTCAAAGCCCTTCTTGACCAACTCTCTAGCTGCAAAGATGAAGATAACTCTTCTGGCTACCATTACACAGGC